TCTGCCGGTGTGTGCTTAACGATTATTAGCCAAAGCCCGTGGGAAATGCAAAGACAATAGAAGTGGTAGCTCGAGTTTTGGTGCCAGTGAAGGAACTAGTTCGAACTGTACCCGCTTCCGGAACTCGTGACAGTCGCAGTGTTCCTCATACAGCAGTGTTGGTTATCTCAAGCAGTGTTGCTTATCTCAAGCAGTGTGGCTCATCTCGAGCAGTGTTGCACATGCCTAAAAGTGTTGGAAAGCGACAACCAAGTGCCGTATTGGATTTAGAGAGTCACGAATTCGTTGAAAATTTGTTTTCTTTTAGCAACTTCAAATTCCAAATATTAAAAATTAAATATTTTAGTTAAAAAAAAAATTGCTCATATCTTGCATAAAATTATTTACTTTTACCAATGAAACATTTTAGCTGCTCGAATGAACTAGCTTTTACAGTAATTTACACAAATCTGGCCATCAGGTAAATGGACCTGGACGTGGACCTGGAACCGGCAGCACCCATACCCATATCCAGCCCAAAATCACTCGAACCCTCGGCGGACACTCCACCTCAAACCGACCCACCAATGCTTAGCCGTAATGCCTGCATATAAATTGGCTCACGTTTCCTTGGCTTTGAGGATTATTACACTTAAATTAGCAACTTGGGAGCTCTGTGCGTGCAATACGGAACAGCCAGAATGGTGAATGGTGGAAACGAAGGCAACATTGCATAAAACATGCGTTTCGGGGGTTGCTCGACCATCCCCATCCCCAACCCCATTCCGCCGTGATGTTTACGTGCCTCGGCAACGACTCTCCCCCCGCCACCCAACACCATTTCTGGCATCTCTCCGTATCTGTATCTTTGTCTGTGTGTGTTGGAGCTGGGGTCTCTCTTTCTCTCGGTTTCTCTCCCCGAAAATCTGACAAAATCAAATTGTTGCCATTTTTACGCATTTCATTTAATTTGAAGAACGTCCTGGGCCGAAACACCTGTGGGACCCTGCCCCATCATTCAGGATACAGGCATCCAGGCGCCGGTCTTCAGTTTTGTAGGGGATGTGGAGCGCTTTAAGTGCCACATTTGACGTTTTATGGGGGAAAATTATGGCTAGGGCGAACATGAAATGTGTCTGTGTGTGTGCCTGTGTGCCTGTGTGTGTGTGCACAAGTAATGAGAAAATTTTTGTGCTTTTGTTTAGCTTAAATTAGCTCAAGTGATGAGTTTTCCTTTTACAGAAATTGGGGAATGGCATACAGATGGGGAAGGGGAATGAGGGGGTTGTGCCAAGGGAAATAGTAGGAAGACAAACAATTTTTCCACTTATGCAGATACCATCGGAATTTTCCACTCCACGCAAACTCCAACAGCAAACTTTATTTCCATAGACGACGACAATTGCTGGCACTGCTACTGGCACTGCCACTGACACTTCAAGCTCCATTTGGTTGCATTAATTGAAGTTTTTGCTGTAGTCCAGCCAGGGACAAAGAGGAACACTTTGATGTCAATCCGCGCTCTGATCGCTTTGGCTCTTTTAATTAATTTTTTTTTTTTTGCTTTGTTTTGTGCGCAACAACTCAACTTCAATTCCAATTCAACTCCATCTGTGATATCTGGATTTTACATTAATCTGAGCCACGCCAAGCCACCCAGTGTTGGCATTGAGTGTTGCCATCAAACGATTTTTAATTTCATTTCTCTCTGTCGCTGTCTCTCGCCCCACAAGTGGAATGCAATTTGTAACAGAGACATTGTTAGCATTGATCCAGCGACGACTTTTGTGGTCAATAATGAGAAATTCCTTTGGCTGCGCTTTGTAATCATCGAATGAATGAATGAAAAAAAACCCCAAGACCACCGAGCAACGAGCAGCCAGCAGCCAGCAGCCAGCACCGTGCAAAAACACAAAAAAAATCCCTGTGCAAAAAGCAAAGCAAAGTATTTGCACTCAATTCAATTAAGTAATGGCAAACGGCAAAAATCTCTTCTCTCTTTTTTTGTTGTGTGTATATCAAATAATTTAAATTCTTGTCATTGCGTTTGGGTTCTCTCTTTTTCGGGGGACGTCTGCCACTTCCCCTTATCCTTATATATGACATATGTACGAGTGAGTTTCTTCTGCTTCTGCACGAACAAGAAACGAATGGCCCCATTCCTTCAACCCGAACTCCACCCTCGCCATTCCGGGGATCTCTTGTCTTTCGTGGTCCCAGTTCGCAGGTCCCAGGAGTGTCATAGAGTTGAGTATACAAACACTTTGGGGGTCGGCATTTTCCAAGCAGTTTGCAGCGCCTTTGTGTTTGCCTCTGCCTCTGGCACTGTCTCTGGTTCAAGTTTTTGTTTTGACGCTTGCCTAAATGTCAGTTACATGTGCATAAAGTTATAAGTTAAGTCCACTTCAACGGCACGGCACGGAATATGCAAGTCAGCGCAGGACTAGGGGCCAGGGATCCCAAGGAGACATGTGAATGGCAAATGATTGCGTGGCTTCCGAGTGGCTGAGTGAACATCTCCAGCACTGGAGTTGTTTTTCTGGCAGTACGAGAGAGAGAGAGAGTCTTCAAGCCATTAACAGTATTAAAATGTTGATATGGGCTACTTGATGCAGGATTTTACAGGGCTTTTTGGCAGCTCTACTGGAAGTGATTGCGCATTAAATAAATTATTTTAGAATTATTAATTTAATAATGATGAAATATGAGCTGGAAATTTTGTGATTTGAGTGATTTTCTCTACCCCCTAGAGCTATCAAAAGATGGCCACAATTGGAAAATTCTATCGAAAGACGTTCTGACCTTCGAAGAAAATGCGCAGGAATCAGGAGAAGCTAGACCATAATATATTTAATTAATTATGATTATAATATAATAATATAATAGACTATAATAATATAATATATAAAAATTATAATTATATTAATTAATTCTAATTATAATATAATATAAATAATAATATAATATATAATAATTATAATTATATTAATTAATTATTATAGCTAATAATTATAATTAATCGTTAGAATTATATTATTATTAGCTATAATAATTAATTAATATAATTATAATTATTATATATTATATTATTATTTATATTATATTATTAAATTTATATTAATTAATTATAATTATAATATAATAATAAAATATAATTATAATAATATAATATATAATAATTAGAATTATATTAATTATTTATAATTATTATTATTAGCTATAATCCCTGTTTAATAATCTGTTAATAAATAACATGGCTTGCCATTGCTTAAGCTCAATAATTACGAAGAACTATAGTTCGTATGGATCTCCCCCCTGACTACATGCTCGCCCATCGCTGAATGCCTTTGGCGCATTTTCCAATACTTAAATTATCTGTAGAAAACTCAGACAGCTTTAACTTTCACTTAGCTTTCACTGCCCAGCCCCTAGGACTTTGTCGTGAATCTAATTAGCGCTTCCAGCTCATCTGGCGGCTTACATTGTCTTTACCTTCAAATCGTTGGAATTGTGCGGAGCTAGCAAACTTTCTTCCTCAGCGATTTGTCGCCTAATTGTTGGGACAATTAAATCATTAAAATGTTCAATGGGTAAATAAATTCTTTTGTCTCTATTTCTATGAGTGGTTGGGGGGTGTTTTGGCCACTTCGATTAATTCTGTTTTAGGTGGGGAGACTCCCCCCCACCACTACGATTGTGCGGGGAATTTACTTGTTTGTCCGCAAACTTTTAATCAAATTAAGTCGGCAGCAAAGCCGGAAATGTAGCTGACACAAAGGTGGACATGTGGCTTTGACGGCGGCTCGACGGCGGCTCGACGGCTGGGGAGACGAAAACTTTTGTCCTGTCAACTGGCGGCAATTGGTGTCGACAAGTGGCGCTGTGGGTAGTCCTCATCTGTTCCATCTTAAGCCTGCCCCAGCGCCCAGCCCCCGCCCCCACATCCAGCACAGAAGCCGCACAAATGCTCAATTAATAGAAGTCCGTTGACTTAATGAAATGCCGAAGGAATTTGAGGCCAGGCATAAGTACAAGAGCCGGGGATCAATGTGGCTTAGGAGGGGCTGGCTGCGACTGCTGGCTCCAGTTCTGGATTCGGGCTGCTGCCTGCTAGCTGCTGGCTTCTGGCTAATTGAATCAAAGCAATGTCCTGGCCTGTCCTGGCCGTTGTGTCCTGGGCACATGCGTTTGGCTTAATTGCAAAATTGGAAAGCATACTTTTGGGCGTGCCAGCGGCTGTCAAAGACATTCAATATGGCACTCGCTCTCTCTCTCGCTCGCTCTCTCTTTTACCCACTCTTTTACTCACTCTCTGATTCTCGCAATTTCTCTCGCTGCCAGGGCAGGGCGTTCCTCCTTGCCCCGTGTAAAGTGGACAGACAACAACCCTTTGCCCCCCTTTTTAAGTGCTGAAACGGTAAAAACAATTAATATTATGACCTGCAGGCACATTATCTCTACCAAACGGGTCTATGTCCCGCACCGCACCGCACCACCCCGCCACGACACGCCCCGCCACGTCACGCCACGATTTCCCATGGTCCTGTGCTCTGGCTCCTGGCTCCTGGGTCCTTGCTCCCCCCCCATCATTTTGTGTGTGTTTGTTTGCCTATCGCCTGTCACTGACAACAGAGCGAAAAGGGGAGAAAACTCTGTCAGAGCAGATACAGCGGGAGGGAGTGCGACTGGGGAACAGGGATTCCCTGGCTTGCCTTTTAAATGTTGAGTCCTGCTCCCTGGCACTCTCTCTCTCTCTCTCTCTCTCTGGCTGTCGTGTCCTTGTTTTTGCTGCTGATGCTGCTGTTTGTTGGCTTAGAATCTCCTTAATTATGCACTTGTTTACTTAACACTAAAATGCGCTTAAAGGGTTTCTGGGGAAATAGACTGGAAACTGGAAGCTGGAAGCTGGAAACAAGAGCAGCGCCGAGCGGATAAATAGTTGTGGGACCGACCTGCTGCAGGGCACACAGAGCAGAGCCGAGCCGAGCCGAGCAGAGCAGAACAACAAGAAAACGCCTTGGGTTCAGCATAAATTGTTTTTGCAATGGCTTATCAGTTAATTCTATTAAAATGGGGATCAGTTCTGTAACAAAATAGTATAAATAAAATAAAATTTAATAAAATTTAATATTTGGGGTGGCTAATTTATTAACAATTCATTTATTATTTATTAACAATTTATTTATTATTTATGTATATATTTATTTATTTATATTTTACTTATAATAAATATAAATAATAATAATAATATATTTTATATTTTATTTATAATAAATATAATAATATAATATATTAATAAATAAATATAAACATAAATAATAAACAAATAAATTGTAAATAAATTGTAAATAATGTATTAACAATTTATTTATTATTTATTAACAATTTATTTAGTATTTATTTACAATTTATTTGTTTATTATTTATGTTTATATTTATTTATTTATATTTTATTTATAATAAATATAATAATATAATATATTAATAAATAAATATAATAAAAATTAATCCGGAATAAATCAGCGCCCAAAACTAGAGTTTCGCCAATATTAGTATTATATCTGCTAGTTCTGCCTCTTTGAGCATTTAGTAGAGCCATCCAAACTGTTAGTTTGCTAACAAGCTGCTGGCAACTTGCAGGCATCCGTCCAAATTCCATTATGCTCACACCTCTCTCCATTCCATAGAAGAATCACTTCACAAGCGAGAGATTCTCTCTCAGCAAACTTGAATTGTTTGAGAGTGCCGCCTCGAGGCGGTGGCGGTTCACATTTCGGGGGGAGGGGCCAAAAGCTGCACAAAATTTCCATACAGCAGCCAGACGCAAATAATTGCATTTGCCCAAGCCCATTCCACTGCCACTGCCACAGCCACTGCCACAGCCTCTTTCAGTCTCTTCTATGGCATTTTCCTGCATTGCAATTTCCTTTACAAGTTTTCACGTGCAACTTTTGGGGGGTGTTACTGCTACTGCGTGGGGAGAGCCAACAATTGTGGGGCGTTGGCCATATGATATCAATTAAAAATTTGTCTAATTAAATTTGAAACTTGTAGGGGTAACAATGCCGTTGGCCGTTGGCCGTTGGCCGTTGTCCGTTGCCCGGCACAAGCCACTTGAACTCTGAACCCTCGACAAAAGAGATGCAAGAAGAATTGTGTGGACCGACACGACACGACACCCACTCAATGCTAAATGAACGTTGTACGACGACTTCAACAACGCTTCTTCTTCTTCTTCGAGAGAGAGAGAGAGTTCACCTTTTCAGTGATTGCCAATTTGTAGTAAATTTGCAGACAGCCACACCCCCCTTAGAAATGTCAATAAATGCTGAGAAATATTTGACTAGGAGTAGAGGAGCAGGAGCAGAAGCAGAAGCAGGCGAAGGAGCAAGAGCAGGAGTGGCTAGTCTTGAGGTTGGACTAGCCATCATCGGCACTGAAACTATATTCCAGTGCAAAAAGGTGGGGTGTGGGAGCTGCACTTTGGACCTTTGCCTAATTGCTCGCTGCAGTTTTTGGGTGCCAGCAGCAGCAGCTGGAGACCAGAGACCAGTGCTGAAAGTCTGTCCACCAGGAAGCTGTTGATTTTTACTACCAAATGAACACACACACACTCCGCTGCCGTATTAAAAGTTGCTAAATGCTTGTCGGTTGATGTCGGCTAGAAGAGTGGCTCTTGGGTAGGCAGTGGAAAGGAGCACAAGAGCCAGGGCCAGGGACAAGCCAAATCGAGTGATTGTCGGATGCTTGCTAATGAAGTTATTGTCAAAAAGTGCACACAAAAAAGCATTTTATAGAACAAATAGAGACTGCGGTGTGTGGGGGCTAGACAGACCCAAGGGATGCAAAAAAAACAAAGAAAAACAATTTGTTTAAATTGTAAATCAATCGATGAATCAACAGCAATGCATAGCAGTGCGATGCATAATTATGCATTGTGGCATATAATGTGCGATGCGATGCGATCATCATCATCCTGTCTAATCCCAAATGGCATTCAAACGATTTTGCAGGTGCACTTGCACAGATTTTGACAGACAAACCCCAAACCCAAACAAAATAGCCCAGCCATCTATCAGCAAACATTTCCCCACCACCACCCACAACAATCCGCTGGCCCCTGCCGCAGCGAACAGCAACCTGATTGCATTAAATCGCAAATCGAAATCGACTCATGTTTTATGGATCAAATGTGACTGTGAACCGGTGAATGCGGAGGTCCCTGGCACTGGCAGTGGGGGGGTTTTGTCTCTGGTTCTAACTACACATTTGAATGGACAAAGCAGGAGAGTAGAGAGCAGAGCAGCGAGAGCAGAAAGCACAGAGCAGAGAGAGAGAGCTGTAGAGCGGGGGCTATGGAGCACAACGAGCATTTTGCATAAATATTCCCTCAAGTGGGAACAGAGAACAGAGCTCGCCGCCCCGCCGCTGAGCGATGATGATGATGAGTTGAGTGGAGTGGAGTGTGGGATTTTTTGCAGGCTTGTCCACAGGCTAAACACACATTTTCCACAACAATTGACGTTGTTGTCGATGGATGATGGGTTGCTGCCTGCTGCTGCTGCTGTGATTTTCATATTTGCGTGCAAACAGCAATCGTTACAGGGCGCCATTCCCTGGGGGGAGTGCACTGACACATGTGTCTGCACTATGGCTCTATGGGTAGTACAGGGCCAATGCCAAAAGACAATACTACATACTGCCTAAGCTGTCTCGCGGGGCGTAAAACCCCAAAACCCCAAGCCCCAAACAACATTGACGAGCGAGCACAAACTTCGCCGGCAATAAACGAAGTTTGCCTTTGATTTTGGCTCCTTTTCGCTAGCTGGCACTTGCCAATGCCAGACCCGAGAACCGGAGAACCACACTGGCCGAAAGACAGGTCCCGGGAGTAAGACACAACACACACACACACTCCCCCTGCCTCTTGTGGCACAAAAATATGCAAATGTTTTTTGCCTGCTGCACTGCCGTGTTCCGCCTTCGGTGTTCGGTGTTCGGTCTTCGCTCTAACCAATCTAACAACCATATTTGGCCACTCCGCTTGACAGACAACACAAAAAGCTGCAACACAGTCCACACAGTTTAGGGTCCCCAGACCGCCCCCCTAGAACCCCCATTCCCCAAATGCCAGTCCCAGTGCCAGTCGCCCCAGACATGGCCAGCACATTGCCTGCAACGCCCCCCGCAAACATTTTTGGTAGCCACTAACGCGGCGAGTCTCTTCTTTGACTTTTGCCAACTTGCTTGCTGTGTGGTTCGTCTTGTTTTTTTTTCTTTTTGTTGTACACTTTCTCTTGGTTAGATCTCTCGAGGTAGCTTAACTTTTTGATGGGGTTTGTGGTGGATGCAGCAATAAAATTGCAAGCGTAGTGCACCTTCCCCCCCTTTTAGAGTATCCACGCTTCATGGGTACTTCAGTTTCTCTCCTTCGTTTGCTTCTTTTTATTTTTATTTTATTTTTGTGTGTTGGTAAATTCTGTGCGGCATGCAATTTTCGCTTATGTATGCAACTGTTTGTGTGTGTGTGTGCTGTCTCCCATGCCTCCCACTTCCGCTCACAGACCACGCCAGTCCAGGCCAGTCCAGGCCAGTCCAGGCCAGTCCAGTGTGTGTGTGGTGTGGTGCGGTGCGTCCGGTGTGAGTGGCTAACTTGATTTACTACTCAAAACCCACAACTCCATTTAGTCTGTCAATATGTCGATTTGGCCCGCCCTGTTGTCCACCCTGCCTTTATCCTACCCATCCCCATCCCATCCCCCTCCCATCACCTCTTCGTGTGCTTTTTTTTGCATGTCTTTTTTTTTTGGCGCTTCGCATGGAAAATACGCGTTTTGCTTACAGTAACAGTAACAGAAACAGAAACCATGTATGAGAAAAGAAACAAAAGAATGGAGCAGCACTTCAGGGGAACGAAGCATTTGATACCCTGCAGACGAATATGGGAGTGGGAATATTTAGTTTGAAATTAGCTCAAGCTCCCTTGATTATCTGCATCACCTGAAGGCAGAACTCAAATATCTAAGCAGCAAAGAAGATCCATTTAGATCTCATTTAAGGGCACCAATTTACGTTATAATTTCATTCGAAATTTTCAAGGTAGAGAAAGCGACAGATGAGCGAAAAATCTGAGATAAAGAAATGGGAGAGACAGTGTTTTGGGAGAGAGATTGAAGGAGAAGAAATCAAATCGAACTTTATGGCAATAATATTCTAATTTCAGTATTAAGCCTAATATGTATTAATATAATATAAATATATATAATAAAATAAATAACAAAAAAAAAATAAAATAAATATAATACAATATAAATAATATATGTATATTAAGTATAAGCATTAAGACTGAAGAAAATAACTCAGCTGTAGATTTTGGAATGGCAGTAGAATATCTCTAAGCAACTCATAGTTAAATAACATCAGTTCAGCAGCAGAAATTTCAGAGATCTCAGAAACAAATCGTACTCCTTTTGATTTTGCTGAAGGAGAGTCAGAGTTAGCTTCAGGGTTTAATGCAGTATATAGAAGAGGAGGATTCGTTTTATTTATTTATTTAGATTTACTTATAAGAATATTATTTTGTGTTATTTTTGTAGGTTGTGATGTGTTCAATTTATTATTTTAAGTTAAATTAACATTTACTTTTTTTGTTTTTATTTGAGCTCGTGGTACTTTACCTCGTTTTCGCTATGATAAATTAATATATTTAGCTTGAAAGTGTTTTTTATCTTGTTCTTTAAATGTTGTAAAATATTATTAGTACAGCGGAGGCAATGTCAGAGATCTCAGCAGAATATCCACCCATTAAGAGCAATTTTATTTCTGCCTAAGCTCCAATTATCAGTTATTATATTATTAAATTCGCATTAAACCAATTGGAAATGTTTGTTTTTGAACCGCTATAAATGCAGCTCAAGCATATATATTCCCATTCCCGGCAGTGCTTTGTTGTATTGCAAAACCCCAATATTCTCTGCTGCCAGATCGCTACAGAGCATAGCTTTAGCTTTTCCTTGAAGAGTTCCGTCTGCTGGCTGTTGCTGTTCTTCTTGCTGTCTGTTGTCCCCTGTCCTGTGGTCTCTT